CAAATGTGCCTTTATCATAACGTTAATGCGAATAAGCCAAATTAGCTTTGTTTGTTTTTGAATTTCGCGCAAAGCTACACGAGGGCTATCTGCGCTAGCCGTCCCTAATTTAGCAGTGTAAGACTAGAGCTAGTCATCACCACCCACCGCCAACTCTTGGGCTACTCTTTTACCAACGAATAGCAGTTAAGTAAAAGCCGATATATAGTCAGTTTATGATATTTGACAACAAGATTGATACATACAGTTTTCTTTTTTAACACAAATATGTTTTAATATACAAATAACAATATAATTTACAATAACAGTTATTACAAATAGTTATTACACACAATGATTTATGTACAGAAATTTTACAAACTTACAAGCAATATAAAGTCTTCTTTCTAGTATGGAATTTCCTCGATATCTTATCGAGGGTTCACAATGAGCGAGTTTTTTACGAGTTGATGTAGGTACAATTCGCTTAACGGGGAACTAGCTAGCTTTGTCCTTCGTTATTCACCAGCCATACACGCCGAGTTTTCCACGATGAAGTTCTATAATGTTTTCGTGAAAGTACTAATGTCCGAAGAGAATCCACTGGAGTTAAATGATTTGTAATGTTCGAGCTTTGTAAATGCTCCTGGTCAAATATCTTAAGTTTTCTGATTAATAAACGTTATAATAATTACAGTTATAGCTTCCGAAGTTTATAGCAAACTGACTATAGCAAACTAATAATAGATACTACTTTTTTGGCGCATCGCGTTGTTTATACTTATAGGCTTGTGGAGAGTTTCTAGAAAATTCAGATTACGTAATAATATAAAGCTACATTAAGCGTTTACGTACATACCTATATTGTTGATTCTTACGCTCGAGAATCTTCTACAACTTTAGAGAATAGGCGGGAGATTCGCAATACATATTTAACTGTATAAGTTATTTACACTTGTAAATATAAATCTAATTCAAGCAAACATCAATATTAAAATAAATATATAATAATAAATCCGTTACAGTAATTAAAGTATCCTACGTACTTAACACAGGAAATGAGTGATTTTACTCAGTTTTTGATCAGTTCTTTGTTTGTTATTAAACACAAAGCTACACAAGGGCTATCTATCTGTGCTCTGCCCACCACGAGTATCGAAACCCGGTTTCTAGCAGTATAAGTCCGCAGACATATCGCTGTGCCACTTGGGGCTCTTTGTTTGTTGTTAAGCGTAAAGCTACACAATAGGCTATCGAAACCCGATTTTTTGCCCTCAAACTTGGCGTCAAGCAACTAGAGGACATCAGTTTTTTATACATTGTGCTATAAAATGCAAAAACATAAAATTACTCCATATGATGCAATGTGTGGACCATACCGATAAAATAAACATTGTGTCAAATAATAGCAATTTCCTGGTTAGAATTTTTTTCAGGTACCACAAGCTATTGTATAATTCAATAATTACCATTCTGAACTCAGTAGTTATTTTATTTTTGTTATATAACTTTTAAAATGGTCAAATCTACAAAATAATAATAATATAATCGTTAAAATGTAAACTACTTGAATATTGTAAAAATGACGACATTTATTGGTGAATTACATTATATACTAAGAATAGCCATGTGGTATTAAGTACAGCTTGGTTCTACAAAGAATTTTCGCTTTTATACGAAAAAACAACAAGATGCTAAGCAATTTTGTAGTAGTCAACGTTATGCACTAACAACTTACTTGCATCCCTTTTTACTTGCCAGAATTTAACGTTTCAACTCACACGTATAGTCACTAGAAAGAGTGATCCACCTATTGGTGACGTTAAACAACTTTCGACAAAACTTTCCGTGTTGAAACATACGTAATAATAAAAACTACAAAATGTATATTTTGTTTTATCGCTTAATTTTTCCTCAACTGAGAATTTTACTCTAGCTTTCTAAAAGCTTAGTTATATACATTTACTTAAAATCATTTGTAGAGGCTTCATTCCACTTAAAACGTTTTTCAAGGTCAGTTTCAGATATTTCAGAGCAGATTTTTCAGTAAACTCGTTGTGCAGTGGAGTTTTTTAATTTTTTTAAGCCATTAATTAAGCACAGTTTTTCGTGCGATACCTTACTAAATATCTCAGTCAGTCCAAGTTAAGACTCGTTCACGTCTTACTCGTAAGTTCAGTAATTTTCATTTATATCTTACACTCCTTAACACTGGATACATAAACAAAATTACATATTACTAATACCTTTAGTGACATTTCTGGTTAATAATTCTCTACGTAAGGATTAGTGGTATGGTGTTAAATCTTATAACGCCGGTTTGTATTATTTGTTGTTTAGCACAAATTTTCACAATGAGTTATCTGTGCTATGCCCACCACGGGTATCGCAACATGTTTATTTTAGCGTTATAAACCCATTGGCTTACTGCTAAGCCACTGGGGGTCTTATAGTGCCGGACCCCTATCAAAATTTGCCAAGCGCGTGATATCACCATCAGGGTAAATATATCGTATTTAAAACCTAATTTCCATTTCTATGAGTCCATTTTAACTGTTTGTCTATAATTAAGCACAAAGCTACACAATGGGCTATCTGTGCTCTGCCCACCATCACGGGTCCATTTTAAATACAGAATATATGCATCATGACTTATTTGAGACTACTTACATACACGTATATGAACAAGAAAAAATATACAAGTCGACTTCTTTTAATTTAAGCAACAAGTAAAAACGACTGGGTATCACATAAAAATCACTACTAATAAAACAAGTTTTAAAAACGCGTATCTTATTAAACTTCAATTCCCAGTCGAGTGGAAATTTTTTATAACTATTTTAATTATTAACTCCTCGTGTTTAGAGCAAGATATAACAATATTAGAAAAAGCCAGTGTATCATGACAGTTTACATTAGGGATTTGAATTATTTAATTTTCAATTTCAAATATTGGGTATCGCAGTCGTTATAGTTCTTAACTTCCATGTGGAAGTCTCGCGTTTAAATCCTATTTCAGTTATGACTTTATATTTTTTATTATCATATTTACAACAACATCTTAGAATATTCGGACAATTACAGATGTAATCAGAAATAATATCATATTACATAATAAACAGCTCTAACTGTGTCAAAAACAATTTCAATATCTCTTCAAACCAATAGATGGCGAAACAATACATTATTATTGATATTTATTACTTTAAGTAAGAGTTTTTTAATTTACTTAAAAATTTATAAGCATTTTATATGAAACGATATACCTTCGTGCATTTTTCATTCACGATAAAATACATTGCCTCTGCCATCACAATTAATTCATCGCAGAGACAATAAAAGAATATTTCTTCGAGAACGAGTTTTTCGCATAGTTCAATCTATTTTGAGTTATCAAGAAGAGCATTTGAACATAACATAAGAATTCATAAGTCAAAATTATAATCAAGGACAACTTACAGATGACCAAATATACACAAAAATGTTGTTTTCGTGAAATACTAGAAAATAATAGACATTCTTTATACGTATAATGTTAATATAATACATTTTTAGAAAACATGTTCATAAAACATTTATTTTCAGAATTTCGCGCTAAGCTACACGAGGGCTATCTGTGCTAGCCGTCCCAAACTTAGCAGGTAAAGACTAGAGAGAAGGTAGCTGGTCATCACCGCCCACTCCTTTACCAACGAATAGTAGTATTGACCATCACATTTAACGCCCCAACGGCTGAAAGGGCGAGCATATATGGTGGTACGAGGATTTGAACCCGCGACCCTAAGATTGCGAGTCAAGCGCCCTAACCACCTGGTCATGCCGGACCCAGAAAAAAACCACTTTTTCCCCCTATACGACGGGATTAAGCTAATTTATCATACTTCTAACTATTACACTATTAATAACTTTTACTTTTATAATGTTTTGCATATCTCCCGCCCTGCCAACACAAATGACTAAAAAAAATAAAATGCGACCTTCGTTGTATATAATGCAAACAATAAGCCCTTTCAGTGTACGTTTGAAAAACACAGTATAATCGAAAAATGTATTTTATTAAGTAGTTTAATACTATATTCGTGTGCCTTAATAATCACCTGGTATATGACAAAAAACATTCCACCATTTTAACGCTCTGACAACAGCTACTGAGCCTGACACCAATTCCTGACACTATGAGAGTTTTTGGTTATGAAAAACACTTAATTTTGATGGTAAACTGAATAAAAATTTTTATAACATTTTTAGTTTCTGAAGTGTCAAAAACGCAACTCCAGCCTAATATGTAGGAGTGCTGTTCAAAATCACTCTCACAGCATTACACCCCTGGTTAGAATTGGGGTGTGACTCTACCAGCAAGATCAGTACTACACATGGAACATACTTTATTTCAAATATTCACTTTCATTTAAATACACGGGAGACATGACAGAAATACAACTGTACAGACTTTAAAATTCACACGAACATAAATCATATTTCCTTTACGTAAGCCACATATCAATGAAACATTCAATACCCACTTTTTTTTTAATTGGTTTCTTCCTTCAGTATGTACCTTATACACCAGTTATAAACGAGTTTCCTCTGATGTTCAGTATTATAATTAAAAACCTTAAGTAAGATGTTCTTTGTCCCAGGAATGGTTTATGAACAAACTCTCTCGTCCACCATACATGCTGTTCAATTTGTTCAGTTATCTTCAGATTGTTGGGTACTCTGCAAAGCCGAGCTGAGAAAGGCAAGGTGACCTTTAGGACACTTGTTTGCATAATGACCTTTTTCTCCACATTTGAAGCACGTTACCTGATCTAGTGGTCGAAATGCCTTCTGCCCCTCTTGCATCTGTAAGTCTGATTGGGCTTTAATATTTTGGATGATCTGTATATGGTTATGACGATGTTCTTCTTTCAACTCTGGTGGCATCTTCAAACAAGCAACTGCTTTATGCCCAGTCTCACCACAATAGTGACAAACTATTGACTGTTTTTTCCCCTGTTGAGTTGAGTCTTGCATGGGAAGATCAAATTTGGGATGCATGTATTTACAGTTTGATCCTTCAGGACAGAATCCACAAAGATAGTTGATACATATTACCCTTCTCGTGTGGCGATGTCGACAGTTCGGTCCATGCCGGCAAAACCCTCTGTCATACCACGGACAATCTTTGATCTTAGCTTCAGGATCAATATGCAAGAATGGACATTCTTTGTTACTGCAAGCATTAAATCTGGAATAAAAATAACATTCTGGCATTTTTGTCATATCAAACTCATGCAAAAATTCACACTGATCACCCTTCTTACAAAGTCCCCTGAGCCAGTGCTTACAAACAACTGTTCTATCACCACGAACATGACGGAAAGGACATGCCCCTGCTTTGCTACACAATCCTCTTGTAAAATATTCACAAACAGCTGCTCCTGACTTGTCCATTCCTGGAAAAGGTAATGGGAGAGCTCCAAGCTGCTGTTCCAGGGCATTTTCAATATCAAACCTTATACCATCCACATCTGCTACAATCTCCTCCATGATCTGTTGAAACTAGATATGAAATGACAAAACACTGTTTTCAATTAATTAAATATTAGTTAAAATATAGTTCATAACAATCTTCTAAATGTATCCATCAATTTTAACAGTTTTAGTGCACAGATGTTTTACTAGCAGTGTGTTAAATAAAACTGACAGTAAAACATCAATATGGTATATTTTAAAAGCCCTTTTTTACAAACTCATAACTTATACATAAGCAAATGTAGACACATTTCATTACACATGAAACAAAAAAACTTCTGGAGAGGTTTACTTGTAAACTAATAAATGAGAGAAATGTTACTGACTTTAAAATATTGTTATAGATTAAATAGAAACATTCATGTTGGAAAACAATTTTAGTGGGGGTTACAACTATATAGTAAATGAGTAAATTTATTTCTTTATTCTCATACTAGCACTAGCTAGTACTGAAATTTACAGCTGCTGTTAGTATTGGAAATTACAGCTACTGCTAGCACTAGTAGTTGTACCTGCTGCCACTAGTGTTGAACATTATAACTGCTCCTAGTATTGGCAGTTGTAGCTGCTGCCACTAGTGTTGAACATTATAACTGCTACTAGTATTGGCAGTTGTAGCTGCTGCCACTAGTGTTGAACATTATAACTGCTACTAGTATTGGCAGTTGTACCTGCTGCTGCTAGTGTTGAACATTATAACTGCTACTAGTATTGGCAGTTGTAGCTGCTGCTGCTAGTGTTGAACATTATAACTGCTACTAGTATTGGCAGTTGTAGCTGCTGCCACTAGTGTTGAACATTATAACTGCTACTAGTATTGGCAGTTGTACCTGCTGCTGCTAGTGTTGAACATTATAGCTGTTGCTACCACTGGTAGTTGTAGCTGCTTCCACTAGTATTGAACATTATAACTGCTGCTACTATTACAAGTTATAGTTGCTTCCACTAGTATTGAACATTATAACTGCTGCTACTATTACAAGTTATAGTTGCTTCCACTAGTATTGAACATTATAACTGCTGCTACTATTACAAGTTATAGTTGCTTCTAAAAATGTTGATATTAATCTGATGCTGCTGAGAGTTGACCAAATAAAAAACTTGATGAAATGGCTGTGAAAAAAATTGTTTTTCGTTATAACATAATCAACAGAAGAAAAAGCTGAATTTCCTTGCTAATAAACAAATAGTCAGAATGCTGATGACAATTTAGATACTGTGGAATATCTTATTTGGAATGTCTATAATGTGTATTTGGGTTGGAGTCTGATAACAAAAGTTTCTTAGTAATATTTGCATTGTTCATCAGATCAAATCACTGAGGGTAAGAAACAGGAAAGCAGTTATGGAGGACTTAATTTATGAAGATACTGTCTTGGTTAATCAATTAATGGAGGGGCTAAAAATCTGAGGAAGAATGCTCACTAAGAAAGATAACTTTCAGATCATCTCTTTAGCCTGGAGAAAAATATGGTACAGAGGTTCTGGCTCAAAGGAAAGAGTTATGAAGCTAGACTATGGGATTTGAAGTTTTCTCTGTTAACTGTAAAAGAATTAGTGTGAGAAAAGTAGATAACCTGCCATTAGGTAGTTTGTTTGATTTGAAATAGTAAAAACTTAAATCCATCCTTTATTTTTCAGGGCATTATCAATCTTTCTATTAGACTCTTATAAAGTGCTGGCCTCTACTATTATTCCATAAGCCAATATATAAAAAAAATATAACTGTCTTAACTGAAGCCTAGTCTGTGTTTTCCAAATCTCAAACCTGTGGCCACTCATCTTATTGTCTTCAAAACATAGCATAAAAAAATCAGACATTTTATCATATCAATGCCTAAATAATCTTGTAAACTTCAATAAGATCACTTCTTACCTTTTTTTTTTTGAGACAAAATAAGTTATCTTAACTAATCTGCAAAAGACAACCATTTCATCCCTGGAGTAGCCCTTTTCTGAATCCTTATCAACAAATATATATTTTTCTTAATAAGGAGATCAGTATCTCAAGTGAAGCCTAACTGTTAGCATGGATTTTGTCAAATTTTGGTTAAATGAGTGTGTAAAAGTGTTTAAATATTCACCACTATTAATTCAACTGAGCACCACAAAGACTTAAGAACGATAATGGTTTAAAACTTTTCTACATTCATTTTCTACTGTCAAATGCAACCTTGCAAAACACTACACAACAAAATAAAGCTATCTTACTAATCATTTGTTAAAATCAGAATATACTTTTTCAACAGCTGACAATATTTACCACTTTTTATGAGGTATTTTATATCAGCAATTCAACAAAAATTAAGATAATTTAGATAACTTTTCATAAAAATATGAAAAAAGTACAAGTTATGAACATATTTATATATTATTGCAGCAAATTCAAGTGCAAGAGCAATTTAAAAAGTAACAACATACAAGCAATAATAAGAAAAGTTCAGAAATTCATTGGAATTGATAGTTAGTATAATTCAAATTGTATCTTATCAATATTATTATGCACTTTTATTACACGTAAAATAAACTGTACATGTTGCACGATATGCAGTATTAAATATCAAATTAAAATTAAATTAAGATATCAATTATAAACATCAATATATCTAAATCACATTTAAATAAATAAGAGATTTTCAAACCTCTAAAACAATAATAATTATATGAAACTAAAAAATAAGAAAACTATTCACTGGGAAATAACAAGTAATGGCACTGAAATTTCAGTAACTAAATCGCATACAAAAATGGTAGGGCTGAATGACCTTATCTAGCACTACCATCTCATCCTGTAGTAAAATTAATAAAATTCTTAGATTTCATGCAGGTTTTGCATAAAAATAGATGCTATTCTGCACCATATTGTAACCATGAATATATTTTAACCATCCACCTTGAGTGTGATGGACATCTTTACAAAACTTCTTGGTGACAACTTTTATAGATGTAGATCCAACACTTGAAGATATTTTGTTGGCTTGTGTTGTTTACTTTACTTGAAAATATCAGAAATGCTTTGTTGCAATGAATGTTGATTAAAAGCTATTTGTGAATGGGTTGCCTATAACAAATCTAGATAATAAAGACAATGAAAAAAATCAATTTGAAAAAAAGACAAAGAAAATTACAAAACAGGTAAATAGTCAAGGTTATTTTCAAAAACAGTATCAATAACAACTAAGCCAAACCTAAACTAATTATTTAAACCATGTAAACCAACCAAATTAATAATTAAGCTGTTATTCATACAGTTTTATAATCAATTTTAAAAATTCTCATTTTATAACATTCATAAAATATAAAAAAATTCTATTTTCTTATCTGTTTGTGTAATTTTCTTTCTCTTACAGGGTTCACGCATGTATGTGATAACAAAAAAGTAAAATGCTTATTTTGGAATTTGTCATTTTATACCATTCCTAAAATATAGGACATTTTTTTTACTTTTTTACCTGTTTGTGTAATTTTCTTTGTTTTGTTTTTTTCCAATTGACTTTTTTACCACCACGGCCTACTACATCTATTAAAGAATAATTCAAACCTTATTCACAGATTTTAAGTATTTTCATGAGATTATTTTCATAGCTGGCAACTTTAATATTATTAAGACCACAAAGCATATCTACACAACATGCCCATATGTTAAAAGACCTTGCAATATGATCATTAGAATAATCTTCTACAGCCCAAGCTGTTTAAAAGCAAGCGTTCATTTTATTGTCTATTGAAACTAGATAATAGTTGAGCTAAACTATTCTGGTTTTGGTGATGCCACTAATGATTTTTACCCAGCAATACCAACTGCACACAAGATATGCAGTTCAGACATAAGGTAGTTTCAGAGGCACCTCAAACTTGAATAATGGTTGGAAGAAATCTTATGCAGAAAAAAAAAAGAGACTATATCAGATTAGAAGGAGAAGTTGAAAATAAAAAGTGGATTCATTTGAAGTTTTTGAGAAATGTAAGCAGCTTGTAAACACTCAAAGAGGCATTTCAAATTTTGTAAAAAGGGGAAACCCAACGAGCAACAAGGCCTTTAAGAAATTAAATGCTTAATCAATATTAACTTCTAATCAAAGCAAGCTACTTACTAAGTCCATAACTAAACCCAACCCAGTAATGAGTGTAGCTAATTAAATATATTGTTCTTAACATCTTACTTATATAAAGATTAGACAACTGTTTCTACTGTTGAGTACCCTTATTATCAATTTTCTGGGAAACTCCAGCAATAACAATAGGGTTTGGAACCACCAACCTCAAAGCTAGGTTGGCACTAAGACAATTATATCTTATATGGAACTAAGTTACATAACAGGCACTCTGCCAGGTGAAGCTATCTAAACATTAAGTGGGATTTTGATACCATATGCCCAAGTGTCCATGATAAAGTTTGAAAATTTCAAATTTAGTCGAAGAAACCACAGTTAGGTCCTAGAAGTCACTGATTTAAATTCTGAGTAACTAAATGTTAGTACTTCACTAACTGTTAAACAGCAAGGTAAGCAAGTATGAGGTTCTTCTTGGCAACAGAACCCAGTATTTTAATTTCAATCCAGCAGCATATCTGGTTTCAAAGGCCAAGGGGCAAGAATATCCGGTTCCCTTCCAGCCTGACCATACCAAAACTATACAAATAAAACAATACTACAAACTATAACTTAAATAAAGTAATACCATGCTTCCAATTGTTTTGTATGATAAAATCATCTTACAATAGCTGTATGTGAGGGGGACCATTCTATGGTTCGAAAGTCATAAACACAATCTGAATGTTTGAAGGCTTGGACAAGAAAAACTTGTACAACCTAAAAAGAAATAAGTAAAACCAGAATCGATATAACTTGTTTATAGATTTATAAATTTGGTTTTATACATTTTGGAATGTATTTTCCTTTGAAAGTGAAAAAGTAATGGTCTGTTGCCATGCTTGTTATGGTGGAAATCCATTATTACAATAACGTCACTTTTGTAGACTTGAAACTTGCATAAAACTGTACAAGTTTGTTGTTTTGTGACTTTATTTTACTTGTACATTTTTCTGATGTGATGATAGAGGTATGTTACAAAAGAAAAGACTGACGTTTCCCTCTCTTGGAAAAGATTTACTGCCATTTTGATCCTTGCTACCATGAAATTATTTGAAACTGAAACTGTTCAGACTCATGAAAAGTTGGACCAATAATATTGAATAAACCATTCATATGGCACCTTACACGTTACGTCTCATAAAGGAAGATTGCCCTAGCAGCCCTGCTTACAAGTAAGCCTTTCAAAGTTTATTAAGTTGAGATTGGGTGTCAACAAATGGGTTCCTGGGAACAAAAATATTACTATTAATTTTATATACCTCACAGCTAACCTTTCAATGTTTTATGAACCGGGTCACGTAGACTCGTGAGGCAGCTACCTCACCAATATTTACATCCATATTGCATTGAACTTTTAATCAGCTTTGTACATTTCTTTCGAGGCAACTAAAAGAGGAAGGAGGAAATTCATTAATTAAGCATTACATAATTCCAAAACAAGCCCAAGTACGAGTTCAATTACAAAGACACGTTATTAAGTAGGCTTAGCGGCTCGGACTTTATGAATAGCCTAAACTAGGTTCAAAACAGTCTTCAACTTCACAAGATAATTTAAAACTACTTATTAATAAAAGCTTGGTATTTTCTTTCAGATATTTCGATCAAATAAAATGTCAGGACAATACACAAACTTACATTAATTTCCTAACTACGTATAAAATATACTTTTATTATTATCAAAATTGTAAACACTTTTAATACCACAAATGATACAATATAACACCCAGTGCCCTCTAGTGCAATATATATGCTTATATATATATTAATTTATATACGTATAAAATATCTGAACATATAAATATTTTATTACATTGCCCAGTTTGCCCCTGAAGAAGAAAGATTCACCTTTCGAAAGCGCTCGGGTTATAGGGTTTTTATCATTTTGTATCAAAACTTCTTGAACCTACGTGTTTTTCTCACATTATGATATTATTAAATTATATGCGTGTGTATATATATATATACATATAATTCATTAGTGAATTATGAGTTTGGGCTATCAGTACTATCTAAAACATCTAATTAATAAAATAAGTTTGACTGTACTGACATATAAACAATTATAAAGTCGAGATTTTATATTCTGTAAATTAGGCGACGAATGCTGCCACTTTAAGGATGCCCCCCAATGTCACAGCGGCATTCTGCGGACTTTCAACGCTAGAAACCAGGTTTCGATACTCGTAGTAGGCAGATCACAGATAGTCCATTGTGTAGCTTTGTGCTGAACTACAAACAAGTCTCCCAATGGCACAGCGGTATGTCTGCGGACTTATACCGCTAGAAACCGGGTTTCGGTACCCGTGGGGGGCAGAGCACAGATAGCTCTTTGTGCAGTTTTGTGTTTAATAACAAACAACAAAGAAAAACCAACCAATAAGAATAATTCTGTTTTTCTCTTGCGATCACTGATTATGTTTGGGACTTCTTATATGATAAGGTGTTTGGATCTGGTAGTTTGGATTAAACTATACATATATGTGTATATATACTAGCGAAAGTACCTGGCTTCGCTCGGGTTATTAGGCTGGTATATTCTAGATGACCATGTTATAGATGCCATCATACGTCACGTTATTTAACTTATATAAAAGCCAGTGTGTGTCACGCCACGCTTGATTTTTAAGCTTAAATCATTTCTGAATTAAGGTATTTTTTTATTATATCCCCAACGTTTTTAATTTTAAAAAACTCTTTATTCAACGGAGACTCTAAGTTAAGAAATCAACAAATATTTTTCCAGTTTTTGTAGTTTATACATTTCACTTTATACTTTCAGTACATAGATTAATAACAATATTAGGTTATACTTTTGTTGCTAACAACGCGTTCTAATATGATATAAAAGCCATTGCTGGAACGCATTGATATCAAAACGCACTGGCTTTTCTATATATCAGATGTTGTTATATAAGGAACCATTTCTTTTCTATGTGGTTTTTCGCTAGATAGCCTCATTAAAAAGATACGCATGCGCACATGTTTGTCTGTCTGTGAGTTATATTTGTAATATAAAGAACCACTTCTTTATATGTGGTTTTTCGCTAGCTTACCCCATTAAAAAGATGCACGCACGCACGTGGATAAGATAAGTAATAATACTCAGGTGCATACACTCAGGATCCACTTAGTATGGGTGAAAAATTTCATGTTTTTAGGTCCTTTCCTCTTGGTGCTATGATGAGCACATTTCTTCTCTATGTGATTTTTCGCATAAAACGATGCGCGCTTGAACGTAGATAAATAATAATATCCAGGTGTAAACTCTCAGGGTTTTCTAGTATGGGTGCAAAATTTCAGGTTTCTAGGTTCTTTCATCTTGGAGCTGCGGCGGTCACATATACACAGACACGCATGCGCTCACTCACATACACGCATTTCTTTCTGCCTGTCTGTGATTTTTATTTGTAATATAAGGAAATACACCATTAACTAATATTTGATACAATTATTGTGACAGTATAGATTCTGAATGACCAACTTATTCACCCCATCGCGATGTTGAGAAAAACAGTGTTCACTGATTTGGTAGTACTTCTATAACACAGGATAATCATATATGAACGTTAGTTTCT